TAGCTGAAAGCTGCAGAACTGTAGCTGAAAGCTGCAGAACTGTAGCTGAAAGCAGCAGACCTGTAGCTGAAAGCAGCAGAACTGTAGCTGAAAGCTGCAGAACTGTAGCTGAAAGCAGCAGAACCCTAGCTTAAAGCCAAAGGGGGCAAAGCTGTAGTTAAGAATAGCAATACAGATGCTAAAGCTAAAATTATTGAAACCAAAAGCTGCAAAACGGATTCTGTTAGCAAAACTGTAGCTCAGAATATTAAACTAGTCCACCACCACCACCAGTACCACCACCTCGTTCTTGAGGGGTCACCACAGCGAAAAGTAAAACTATCAAAGCAGTAGCTAAAATTAGCAAAATGGTACCTGTAAGCTAAAAGAAGCAGGCCAGTAGCTAAAAGTAGCATAAGAAGACAAAGATGGAGCACGTCTCCTGCAGATTTTGCACAAAATGTTTTGAATGAACCGCAGAAGTCTTGATGTTTTTCTATTTTCTTTATTTTTACATAAAAAAGTACCCAAGTTCCAGAATCTATAGCACACTGCTCTGAACAGAACATTTTTACATTTGAACAGGGAAAGTAGCAACAAGTCTGCAAAAGTTCAAACGTCCAGGAGAACACAGCAGCAGCCGTCCTCGTCATTCGACGCAGTTTAAATCCACCGCGACGTCGCAGAAGTCGTTCTATTTGTTCGTTTCCTCGCAGAAACGTGGTCCTCTCTGCTCCCGTCGCCACCGTTTTATCAGTGTGGGGTTTTTAAGGAGCTGGCCTCGTCTGCAACTAAATTAGTGCTGATCCGTCGCTCAGCTAAAAGAGGAAAGGAGCAGCCGGGCCGACCCTGTAATTGTGGTGTGAGCAGCAGCTCGTGATGAGGCAGTCGTTTTGGTCGTGGGCCCGGTTCTGCTTGTGCGTTCAGTTCAAGCTGCAGGAGTTAAATTGCGGGTCAAACGAAGGCTAAAGCGGTTGAAGTGTATTCATATTGTTTAGTTTACTCGTTTTTTTATGCTCAGATCTGGGGTTTGTTTAAAAATATGCTTTGTTACAATTAGAAGGGATTTTTGACTCTACTTTTTTTAACTTGCATCAACTAGTGTTTGTTCGAGACCGAGTTTTAATGTGAAGTGAGGAAGGCTGATTATGGTGAGGCGGTCATGAGAAGTGAGGGTACGTGAGAGGAAGTAACAGGATGTAAAGTAAAAACGGGGCATTCACGAGCGAGGCTGAGAGGAAGTGAGCAGGGAGAAAATAAAAAGCTGAGAGGTAAGGTGTCACCGGCCCCGTCACATGTGGAGGCCGAGTGAGAGAGTTTGACTTTTTTATAGAAGACGGACTTAAATGATTTGACGTTTTAAAGGAACGGTTTATATCCTTTGAAGTGATGTGTTCTGGAAAGGTTGTAAACAATATCTTACCTGTTGTAGATGGCTCTTTAAACGACCACAACTTGTAGAGTTTAATTCTGATTAAATCAGCAAGCTTACAGCTAATTCAAGCTGATCACGCAGTCAATTGCTCTCATCTTGAAGTTTCAATCTTAAATATTTCATAGCGGTTCATGCTAACAGTTTTATAAATGTTTACATCACTATCAGTTTATCCCAGCAGTGATGTGATTATAAAACATTTATTGATGCATTTTAATTATCTTGAGACGTAATGAACATGAGGTATTTTACATAAACAAACAATGGTTTACATATTTTCATACTCGGTAAAAACAAGTGCCCAAAAAGTAGCATAGCTGCTAACTTCACATTGAAAACATGGTAGAAAAGCTAATGCAACAAGAAAAAATTACATTTCCTGTGAAAATGCAGTGTGAATGCTGGTTGCAGAAGAACTTGCCAAAAAAACAGCTGCAATTAGCTCAAATGTGCTGAAATGTAGCTGAAATGGATGAACAAGCCTAAGTTAGCAGAAGAAATCAGAAAGAACACATATTTTTTAAATTAGATTTAAATAAGCAGAAATTAGTACAATAATTAGGAAATTGGCTAAAAAAAAAGCTGAAAATGGCAACAACAACAAATAGTTGAAAGTAGCTGAAAAGGCAGAAAGAAGCTTAAACTACTAGAAGGAAGCAGAAGGAGCTGAAATGAGCTCCAAGAATGTGAAATTAGCTGAAAAAGCTAAATTTAGCATAAAACAGCTAAATTGTAGCTGACAGTGCAGAAAAAGCTGAAACTAGCAGAAAAAAAGCTGAAAGGAGCATAACACCCTGAAAGTAGCAGAAATTACCACAAAAACCTTAAATTTAATTTATCTGAAAACAGCTGAAATTAGTTATATACAATGAATTTATATATATATATATATATATATATATATATACACACATTAAATAAAACTAGCTGAAAAATTAGAGCAAGCTTAAATTATCAGAAGAAAGCAGAAAGAACATGTTTTCCCAATTAGGCTGGAAAAAGTAAAAATTATCCCAAAAAAGTGGAAATTATCTGAAAAAAGCTGAAATTGACGACAAAAACAAACAAAAAAAAAAAGCCGCTAAAACGTAGCTTAAAAAGCAGAAATAAGTACAAAAAATGTGGAATTAGCTGAAAAAGAAAAACTTTGCATAAAACAGCTAAATTGTAGCTGAAATAACTGAAACTAGCAGAAAACAGCTTAAAAGATGTGAAAGCACGTCTAACTACAGCTACGGTAGCTCTACAGGGACAAACCGCGCTGCACCACGCAGCAGACACCCTGCTGACGCTCTTACAGTGGCAGCCAAAAGTTAAAACAGCTATTTTTTTTACTTCTTGAAGTGCTACAGCTAGCTGCTGCCGTTGCTCTTTGTAAATCACCGTGGAGCAAAACGACAGCGATGTTTTTGAAATGGCTTTTGCAACAACTGAGCTGTTGGTCGTATTCTTGCCTCAGAACCACGCGTCAAAAGACCCGAGCTGTCCCTTTAAGGTCAGGGTTTGGATTAATCAGCTGTGGAGGTAAAAGTCGTGTTAACGGGTCAGGACGTGCTTTTTGTGTGGACGGTGTGTCCTCCTGGGGGGTAGAACAGGCTGTGTGTTGGTGCTGGGAGGAGGCGGACGTACAGCCACTCTCCAGGCCTCCCACTCACAGATAGTGTAGCTCCGTGGCGACAGTATCCATGGTTACACCGGAGATATCGCTTTTCCCACAACTATAAATACCTCTGCTGGGGACACCTTGACACGCGCACATGCTCAGACACATGAAGGAAGCGTGGAAGATTCCTGGAATATCCTGAAACATCTCCGTCTGGAGATGAAGGTTTCTTAATGGTTGTTAGAGTTAAGTTGTCTGTAAGTGTTTGTTGTTGTTCTTGTTTCTTCCACGGTTGAACTTTTCACCTCACAGATGCTTCTTTTCAGGAACCGGTCTGCTGTGTGTGTGTGGAGGAGTGCTTCATTGCATTAAAAAAGAGAAAAAAGATGGAGGTCTTAATTAAATCCCCCCCCCACAGAAAGGCCTCTAACAATGTTTGTTCACACGTCTCACCTCTAATCTCCACATTTAAACTCCGAGCAGCAACACTAATGTTCTGGGTTGATGTTTTTGTTGTTCGTTCAGTCTCGTGATTGGATTTTTTTTAACGCTCGCTTCTCTGAGGGCAGCGTGTTTTTGACAGAAAACCGTTTTATACAGACTTTTTTTCTCTTTTCTTTCTTTATCCCTCTTTTGTTTTTGTAGAAATCTCTCGTTCAGGTTTCCAAGAAGGTAGGCAACATAACCCAACGTTAAAACTTATATATCCACGTATACTCTCCTCTTTATATATATTATACATATATATACTTCCTCCACTTTTTTTGGTGTTTCATGCAGCTTTTTGTTGAGATCTTCCTTTTGTGCCTTGAACCTTCCTTTTTTTTTTTCTGTGGTTTGACCCTTTTTTTTTTTGAGCCTTCTGATTTTGAGTGCCGTGTTTTGGACAATTTTTATTTTTATTATTGTTTTTTCTTTGGTACTAACATCCTTCTCACTCACTCACCCATGGCACTTCTTCGTCATCATGCCAAACAGTAACGCTTCATCATTCTTCCTCTTCATCCCGCCACCGTCCTTCCCACCCACCTCATCCTCGCCCCGTTTTCCATTAATGTTCCATGTAGACTGTGTGAGCTCACATCCCCCCGTCAAGTCCTGAATTGAGGTCCTGATGTCGTCAAAACATCCCGTTATGTAGCAACACGTGCAAATAATCTGTCCGTCTTTGGACTGTAACATAAGATTTCTCTCAAAAGCTCCAAAGTTTGAGAGAAAGCTCCGCCTGCGTTGTTGTGTAGAAGTTTTGACTCGTGAAGTTTTTACATTTTGCTTCTAAGCGGCCAAACATTTTATCAAGGCTTTCTGGAGGTCTTCTAAAGCCAGGGTTCCCAACCCTAGTCCCTGAGGAACTCCATCTTGCATGTTTCAGTAGTTTCCTGCTCCAACACACCCGATTCAGTGATTTAATTACTTCAAGTTCTGTAGAAGCCTGTTAATAACTCACTCATTCAGATCAGGTGCGTCAAAGCAGGGAAACAAGTCAAACATGCAGGATGGTGTTCCTCAAGGACCACTGTTGGGAACCACTGTGGAACTTTTGCTACTTTTTTACTCATTTCCAATTCTTGTACCCAACCTCGATAGTATTTTGTGCAGCTTGTCCCTAAAAATATAATAAAATACAAGAAAAATTAAAGATGTTTATCATCATATGTTTAAGCTATTAGCTCTTTAGGAATCACCTTGTTGGAGCTAAAATATTTTATGTGTCAAGTTTAGTTGATTTTGCTGTTTTTCAAAGAATCAACTAAAGAAATGGGGGCAAATTATGTGTCTGTGACTGGATTCTAGTATGACAAGCTAGATGGTCGTACTTTAGCTGATAAGTAGCTAAAAGTCTATTTTTTTTTCTTACAGACACAAGGTTATGTAGAGAAATTGCATTTCCTACGAAAATGCAGTGTGAATGCTAATAGCAGAAGAGCTTGTTGGGAAAACAGCTGAAATTAGCTTAAGAAAACATTCTGAAATGTAGCTGAAATGGAAGAACAAGCCTAAATTAGCAGAAGAAATCAGAAAAACACAAATTTGCTGAATTAGGGTTAAATAACCACAAAAAATAGGAAATTAGCTTAAAAAAAAGGTGAAAAGGCAGAAAGAAGCTTAAAGTGCCAGAAGGAAGCTGAAAAAACAGAATGAGCTAAAAAAAATAGTGTACAGGTAGCTAAAAAAGCTAAAAAAAAAAAAAAAGTTGAAACAAGTACAAAATATGTGGAATTAGCTGAAAAGGCTAAAATAAGCATAAATATAGCTCAATAGTTGCAGAAATAGCAGAAAAAGTTTAAATAGCCGAAAGAAGTTGGAAGAAACATGAAAATGTTGCAGTTAGCAGAAAGAACCTGGAAGTAGCACAAAACAGCTGAAAAATCTTTAAATTTTCAGAAGGAAGCTGAAAAGTTGAAGCCGAACAAAATGTGAAAGGAGTTGTAAAATGTAAACGGATCTAAAATTTGAAGGATGTAAAATGGCAGAAAAGGCTAAATATTTCAAAAAGCTAAAGTTGCACCAATACCACAAGCCATGGCGCCCTTCTCCTGAATGAGCTGAACGTTTCGATTTGTTGAAGTAGCTCAAAAATTGTGGAACGAGAAAGATGCAGAAAAATGGATCACAATGGTGTGAACGCTCCATAAATATTCAGACAGTTGTTTGAGTTTTATCTGTGAGTGAGTCATAGGTCCGTGTTGAACGGCTCAAACCAGCAAAAGCTGTGTAGTGGTCAGGTAAATGACTGAAAACTAACACACAATTCAGCCAAAATAATAAAAATAAAAACTTTGACCCTCAGAAAGCCTGGGGAACTATTACTTTAGACATCGAGAGAACGTCTGGCTCCATGGAAACGAAATGTAAAAAGGTGAAGAATGGTCCAAGACTTTTGCACAGCCCTGCAGACGTGTTGAACGTGGTTCATCTTAATCCAGGCTAACACCTCCCAATCCATCGCCCATCTCTCTGCGCTCAATCCGTCCGCTTGATTTTCTGAAGTCGTGCAGATCTCTGGTTTTAGCTGAAGTTTTAGTTGGAAGCAGAGGAGAGGACCCAGGAGGGACGGGGCCGCAGCGTTTCACTCCTTTTTTTATTATTATTTCTTTCATCCGGAGGCTGCACTCTTCTTCTTTTCATTCATTTGTTCATGCCTGATTCTCTCACTCTGGCACCGGCTCTAACAGCAGCAGCAACAGACCTGGATGGCTTTGACCTACTGTGGCTGGAAAACACCTTCATTCTGTCCTCACACGCTCACAGACTCACACTCTGAACACGCACACCACTTCCACGCACGTTTGCTCCCATTGGACAAGCCAAAAGCAGACAGGTTGGACTTTCACCTGCATTCTGACTTCTTACCAGCAGGTGGAGCAGTTTTCCAGCTGTGAGTGGACCAGTGCTCCACCTGCTGGTCAGACCGTGTAATGTGTGTGTGTTATAATGAACCTCCTCATTGGATAGACATTATTTGTGTTTAAATGTGTTTAAAATGTGTTAAAATCATTAAATTGATCCACTTCCTTGTTGTAACCCTTCACAATAAGATGAAAGGGATTTACATTCCTCAGCCCTGTATTTGTGTTTTATGGTTTAATTACTGTTTTCCACCTCCTGCAGACTGTGTAGTTGTAGCTGATCCCTTATTGCTGGAGGTGTTCAAAATGTTCTTGTTGCTCAACCAGCAGGACGGTCCCCACAGAATCAGCTTTAGATCAAAAAGCTGTTGAGTTTGTCACTTCCATGCTCTTAAGTCTTTGTTGTTTCTCATGTTGGTTTCCTGTCCGTTGGTATGAGAGCGGACGTTTGTGTGTGTGTGTATTTATATAGAGTGTGTGAGACGGGTCATCTGAAGGTCTAATGTTACTAATATAGGTGAGCCGCGGTGCTGGGATCATTAACGGCGCCTAACATCTTCAGCAGCAGGGCTGGCACTCACCATGCCGACCGTTCTGTTCCGAGCCGTTCCGTCCTTCGCCCAAAGTTTCCACTTCAGATTTTTTCTTTTTGTCGAACTGCTCCAGAACGTCCCGTTCTTCTCTCGTTTGGAGCTTTAAAAAGCTCCCGTTTTGATTTTGTAAACTCAAAACTGGTTCCTTTTTACGCTCGGACCCTCTGGCTCCGTCACAACTGGTGTCAGTTTCTAATCGTTGTTGCTTTGTCGAAAATTAAACAATTATTTAGTTAAAAGGTTAAAATAAAAAGTGTAAAACATTATGGGGCTTACAAGAAGGCCCTGAGGAACTAAACTGATGTCAAAATAAGCGATAAAGATCAGAGTTCAGTTAAAGTGTGGTCTGTTTTCATTTAAACTCCATGTTTCATATTTGAAACCTGTCGTGTCTTCACTCTGTGTTTGTTCACGCTGGTCAGGAGTTCTGTTTCAGAGCGAGGGCTTTTCTTTCACTAAATAATGCACTTTTTCCCCCCAGTTTGAGAAGATGATGACGATCTACGAGCTGTTGAAACGCAGCTTCTTGGGTTTTATTCTATTTCCTGCTGTTGAACATTGTCTCATCTTTAAAATGTATAGAAACAAGTGTTTATACGAAACACTGTTCATCATATTATTTATAACCAAAGCTAATAGGTTAGGTTTATTTGTCATATGCAACTCAACACAAGGTCAACAATGCATTGGTCAAGGTCAACAAGGCTCAGGACGAGAAGAACAGTCTCGACTCGCTAAAATACAACAACAACAACAAATGCCAAAGCATGCAACCAAAATAAAAATACAAAACCAAGGCGTCAAAAGTGGAAAAAGTGAAACATCTTCAGCATCATGGTCCTATTAGCAGAGTGGTTCTTCTGTTGGTAGTGAGGTTCTCTTAGCAACATGGTCCCATTAGCAGCATGATACTGTTAGCAGTGTGGTTCTGTTAGCATTGAGGTTCTCTTAGCAACATGGTCCTGTTAGCACATGGTACTGTTAGCAGTGTGGTTCTGTTAGCATTGAGGTTCTCTTAGCAACATGGTCCTGTTAGCCTTGAAGTTCTCTTAGCAGCATGGTACTGTTGGCAGTGTGGTTCTGTTAGCAGTGAGGTCCCGTTAGCAGCATGGTACTGTTAGCAGTGTGGTTCTGTTGGCA